AACAGAAAGCAAAACTTTTTCTTTGGCATTTCCCAGCTATGACTTGTCACCAGGAGACCCTTTAGCATGATGAAGGAACCTTTCCACTCCCCTGAGCTGAACCTAATCGCAGCCCAACCTCTCCTGACATGGTCCTTCCAGAAGAAACACTTAAACCAATGCACAGCACCAGGAAGATGAGCTTTTAACAAGCATTAAGGTCTGGTTGAAATTCATTCTGTAAGAGAGAAGTATCTGACCCATGGCTGAAGCCGCAGACAGAAATCCCTGGAAGACATCCTCCTAGGAAATGACAGGAAGGCATTTCCAACTGGGAGGGCGGTAGGAAGAGGAAGAGAAAAGCCTACAAAGAAATGGAAGTTTTTACAGGCATTGGAGACCAACTACAAAGAAGAATATTTTTTTCTGCTCATTTGTTTACAACGAGCAATCACAAGGCCAGGATAACAGAATTGGTACCAGCACTGAGATCCCCTTTGAAATCTCTGGTCATTATCTCTGCATCAACAGGAAAAACTGACTAATGACACCAGGAAGGATGATAAATGGACAAAATATTTTCATTAAAAATAAAAATGAAGAAGCCTGGCTCTACCACTCAGGGAAAACTAAACCAAAACAAACCCATCTCCATTTTGAGGTTTTATTAGAATCTTTAGTTTGAGAATGTTGAAAAAGCCTTATTTTGGCAGCAGAAAACATGAGCCTTTAGCACCCAGTGTCCACCCCAGAGATGATTCAGGTAACCTTATCCATATCTCTACAGTAGCAATTGAGAAGTAAAGTCTTATTCTCATAATTAAAATAACCAAAAATGCTAATGGCAATACTGCAGTAACAACTCTGATCAAAAAAGCCAATTACATCTGTTTGGGACAAGCAGATTGTCTCTTTAATTAAGAAGCAGCATAAAAAAAAGCATGGAATTGATGAAAAAAAGGCAAAGCTTTATCATTTACCTAATATTCTCCAAGGATACAACCACGGATGTTTGGGAGCCAGAAAACCTCACTACATCACAGATTAACTGTATCCCGATGTGGAGAATAAAAAAAAAAAAAAAAGAGAGAGATCAGTAAATACATTACATTTCAGTGGCATAAAATCTGTTCCCCTTTTGCTACAGCAAGAACACCACTCTGGAGAAAACCACTGGAGATTAGGAACTGGAAACTAAAGAGCAATATAAAAAATACGGAAATATATACACATTTGCCTCTGTGGGAAATGAAGAGCAGTTTGAGAGATCAACAAACTGAAGCAGCTTATTCCAAGATTTGCTGCAGGAAGAACAAGGGATGAGGAGCAGGAAGGGAGTTTCTGTAACAGTTCATTGAGGTTCAGAAGGTTCGAGCATTCCTGGTACTGGAGATAAAAGATGGAAAAGCAGCACTTGTTTAAAGAATATGGTCAAAAATACTCCTGATCATCCCCAAAACACAAGAATCAGGTGTTACCTACCAGTCCTTTGAAAAAGGACTTAAATTAGCAGAGTGAATTTTAAGCATTTGGAGGTTCAAAGTATCTTGATCAACACCCAAAAATTGTTCAGCCTTTCAGAACCAACTGAAGAGACTCAAACATCCCTCCCTGCAAATGGAGCTCACACTCTGCAGAAGCATGAGGAAAGCTTCAGGCACATTTATTTCATATAAGAGATCTCCAGGCACAGCTTACAATGACATTTCTCAGCATGACACCCTCATGCAATTCAAGAGTCTGGAAGATGATTCATATTTAATGTGTTTATGCCGCTGCACCAGGCAAAATCCTTCTTTTCCTGTCCCCTGAACAAAGACACTTGTAATTCAAGTAGTGAGCACAGAGAACGGTTTCCAGAGGTAAAAGCAGATCCTTTCCCTCCCTTCTGCTTTCCAGAAGAACAACAGAATTAAAAGCTTGAGACAGCAGCTCAAAATCCCAGAGTTCTAAGAAATTACACTTGCCTGTTTGATATTCAGAGAGTGGGTAACACCTCTTTTGTCTGGATTAATGAATAGGAGATATACATCTATTAACAAATTAATGAAAATCCAATCAGCAACATTCCATTTTCATACTCTTACAACTGTTCTGTAAATCACAAAACAAATTTCCAAATGGAAGAAGAACCAGAAGTCTGTCCCTGCGAGGTCATCATTGCTAAAAGCAGCCCATCCTGCTCCTCCAAAAAAACCAGGACTTAACTGCAGCAGTATTTCTCACCTATAATGCAGCTTATACGGGCAAAAACCCCAAAGCAAGGTGACAGAAAAGCCTCGAGTAAGCTGAATTTCAGCCAGATATTGCCTTACTCTGTGTTTTGGGAAGCAGAGAACAAACTGTGTTAACTACCACAGGAATAGTAAAAAGCTCTCACCACTTTGGATCATTCTCTGTCACAGAATTCTCTCATTATCCAGAGTAATCATATCTGGAAATGATTTCTACACACACTGCAGCCTGCAGTTCCAATTAGCCTTTTCTTTCTTTTCTTTTAAAAATGACTAAATGAGATTACCTACAACACTATGGAGACTGAACTATCATTTCCCTCTCATTTCCCAAAAAAGGAGGTCTTAGAGCAAATTAAGAGCTGACATAAAAATTAAAACCAGAAAGACTTACACAAGACAAGGGAAATATTTCAGATACAGAACACCAGGTTGCCAAAGTCCTTCCTCCTCACCCTGTTCCTTTACAGTGTCAGCTCCTCAAAAATTTGCCTACAGTCTAAAAGTAAGCACTTCATGTATGCAAATGAATAGTCACTCTTAAAATATGAATGTAAAATATATATTTGTTTCCCTGTATAATCACTAGGCATGCACAAAGCCTGGGCTGATTTTCCTGTTAAGGAATCAGAGCCCAGCCCAGCCAGACCTCTTGTTACTACTCGAGACATGGTGACAGGGCTTGAAAAAGTGGTGGCAACTTTTCAAAGACACTGAAGAAATCCTAAAACAATAAAGAAAACAGGGAAACACGTTTTTATCTACAAACATGGTACAGCTACAGCAAGAACACAGCACAAACACTGCCACATTCAACGTGGCCCTTGCTTAGTGGGCAGTGTCATCAGCACTGAAAACACAACTGGTCTTTGCTCTGTCTGGGGTTTTGTCAGGTTGGCTGGGGGTTCTAATCACAATTTTAACAATTTGGAGAAGTGTAGTTGCTTGTGCTTAATGCTTCTGATCCAGATTTTAATGCACCCAGGAACTTCACTGGCTCCAAAGTCCCTCCCCAGCTCTCTTGGAGCCCCTTTAGGCACTGCAAGGGGCTCTAAGGTCTCCCTGGAGCCTTCTCTTCTTCAGGCTGAACATCCCCACCTCTCAATTTGGCATCAGCTCACTCTTTGTGAACCAACATAGTCTCTGACACTGAAAAGTGCTTGTAGGAGAACAAGCAGGTCTCCTTTCAGGGTTAACAAAACACCTTAACACTAATCTTTGCATTTTTTTTGTTCTTGTGCTGCAGTTTAACCCAAACACACCTAATTTTCTTAATTTTTTTAAAGGGGCTGGACTGGCTGTTAGCAGACACTAAATACCTGGAGGTAACAGACATTTAGTTCCATTCAAGTTTTTAAGTCTTTTCTGTTAGATACAGAATTAATTAGCAGTTCAGGTCTGTCTGTGGATTTATAGTGTAACAGGGTTTGTGGGGTTTTTTCTTCTCTTGTTTTTAAGATAGATGATTCTACAAGATTTGGTTGCTGCTGTCTGTGAACCAAACCCATCATTAAGCATCTTGGTTTTAGAAATACATGCCCAAATTACTTTTTTAATAAGTGATATAAAACCATCAAATCCTTTCAATATAATAAACCATGAAATTCTTTCAATGACCAAGTTCCACTGTGCACAGTTAAATCCACAGGTTCTCTCAGGAGAGGTCTGGCAAAACATGAATGGTGAGCAGTGCTGTAAAGTTTCTCTGACAAGTCTACAACCACTTCAGGTTCTGATCAGGATCCCTGGACCATGCAAATCTGGGAAACATTCTCACACAAACATTTTATGCATATGAACTCAGAGAGAGAGAGAAAAAGGAATAATACAGCTATCTGAATCCTTATCTTAAAAACAGACATTTTTCTCTCAAGAAACAATTTCAGGCCAATTAGGAAAGTGGAACATGACCTTGTAAGAAATATGGGGATCGAATTATGAAAAAAAAAAAAAAAAAAGATGCACCTACAGGGAGAAAAATGGTATTTTTTCCTCTATGCACAGATATTTACTAATATATACAGGATAACGAGAAGAATTCCAGATGCAAACCAGCACTGAGGCTAACATCTCAAATCAGATCTTTGTCCTTAAACCCTCACTTTTTTGTGTTTAACGAAGATCAGTGAGAGTCTTTAAAGTCTAAAACATGGCTGGGAGTAAGAGAAAGATAAAGATTAAAAGGTCATGCCTTATTTTTATATATTGTCAATTAGGAAAAAACTAAACTGACCAGTTTACAGCAGTTCCAGCTGACATACAAAATCCTCAAATACATGAGGATATAATGTAACACATCACACTAGAGCTGTGTGTGAAAGGAGTTCAAATACTACACTTCCTCAGGCCTCAAAGGAAAACATGACCTTTCTTCCTCCTTAGCTTTTGGTAAAGGCTTCATGGCCCAAAATGTCATCTCCCATTCCATTTTTATCCTACCTAGAATTCACTTTTACTAAGCATTCTGCCTTAGTTCCAAACAGGGATTCATCCCCTTGGAAGACAGAGTGCATTCTAGGAGTTAACAGCCCGTGTGGCATAACAGAGCAGCACAATAGAGAATTTATTTCTTATGAAGATGTATATAAAAAACCACAGCAACCATTTACATAAAATACTTGGTAATTCTGATCACCCAGTTTAACTGTATCACCTATATCCTCCTAGAATGAACTCTGTTACTTCTCCACAAGCTCTTTTTTACACTCAAAACTTTGCCAGCACTGTTCATGTTGGCCAGAACGTTACAAACCTTAAGAAAGCATCAGAATAAAGGAGAGTCCTTACCAGCAGCAACTACAGCTGGAGGCGGCGAACCTGCCTCGCCACCGCTTGTTTGGCTCATGGATGCTATGGATGTTTCTCTGGAAGGTGGTAACTGCAGCTCCTTTGGGAGAAGGTCATAGACAGATTCTGTTGAACAAAGAGGATTTAATCAAAAAGTTATTTGTGTTCAGTACAAGAAAAGAATGTTTTTGCCTAAAAGATACGAACCACAACCCAACCCTTTCAGAACCTTTGGAGAAAGTTACATCAAGCGCTTGGAAACCTTAACAGCATGGAAAACAGTTATTTCAGAAAACAAACATTAAGACACACATTCTCAAGACTGAAACAAAGGACACAAACTTGTTCAAACAAAGAAATAATTCATGAACTTCCACAGAAACGGTTCTCACCCAGAACAAAGGGGCTGAGGGCATGTACAGCACATGAGGTGAGAATCACAGACAAACCTGCTCTCAGAATTCCAACTGTGCAGCTGACATCCAAAGGAAAAAAGCCTAATTAAGCACCATCATCCCCAGAATAGCCTATAAAGTCTTAGAATCCCAGAATGGTTTGGGTTGGAAGGGATCTCAAAGTTCATCCAGTCCCATCCCCTGCCCTGGGCAGGGACACCTGCCACTATCTCAGGTTGCTCCAAGCCCTGTCCAACCTGGCCTTGGACACTTCCAGGGATGGGGCAGCCACAGTTGCTCTGGGCAACCTGTACCAGGGCCTCATCACCCTCACAAGAAAGGATTTCTTCCCAACAACCCATGTAACACTGCCCTACTTCTCCTTTATAGGAAATTCTTATAAATATTATTTAGGTGCTTGAGACAGACACGAAAAGCTCAGTTTTTGAAGGCTTTTTTCCCCCCTTACAAAGCAACAATTATATTCAATTGATCCTAAAGTAAAATATATTTGTAATTTTTACAGCAATTCTGTAAAAATCAGAAAAGTCACAGAGTTGACTAAAAAGCTTTAACTGCATTAGGACGTAAAAAATGAGGCACATAAGACAAAGCCCAGGCAGATACACACCCAGCAACACTTGTTCACACTTTTTACTACGAAGAGCAGCTGCATTAACATTTCCTCAGACATGAGTGCAGCGGTTTGTACAACCCCTGGTAAATGAGCCCTGGCCTTTACTCGGGCTGGCACTGGCACTACAGCCCGCAGGAGGGGAGTAAAATCACAGACAGGTGTTCGGGGCTGCTGCTACTCACAATGTTTAGTGAGGGGCCCCAACATAAGGGATTGCAACAGTGTGTGTGTGCATGTAACTAAAGAAACCTTTGTATTTTGTATATAAACTGAACATACACATATACTTCCATTCCTTTCCCCTCAAGAAGTTATCTTCGAGAAGCGAGTTGCTCATCACCATCATTCTGTCATGACTCATAAAATATTCGGTATTGATTACAAAAGCTCCTTTCCAAATCCCAAGTAACTAAGTAATTGTGATCTTTTCTCTTTGGGCTGGTTCTTGGGGATTTTTTTTTGTTTAAGAAATTTATTTTTAACTCTCCGAGTGACGAAAGTTCTGTCAAGCTTTTTGCTTTAAAGGGATGCTCAGATCCAATACACCCACAGAATATTTTTTTCTCAGGGAACACATGACTTTAGCAGTAATCCACAATTCTAATCTTTGTGAATAATTCCAACAATATGATAAAGAGGGAGAGAAGGAAAAGCCAGCATTAGAACTGAAGCACATTCCCAAAGATCACAAGACCATTAAGAGCAAATCTTTAATTTCATGCTTCATTGATAAACACCAAGTTACTTGAAACATGGACTAAACTACGACACCCAGCTTTTATCCTGATACACCTGGAGAGCACAGCTAAAGCTGGAGCTGAGTCCTACACCTGCACAAGAGGCTGGAACTAACCTTGGGGGCTGTAAATATGAGAGGATGGTGGAAGTTCTTAGGAAGGAACTTTAGGTCTCCTGGGTAACACATGAGGAGGAAAAGAGATCAAAACCATGCAATTAAAGACAGAATGGGGAAGACATGGAGTTGTTGGAGCAAGTCCAGAGGAGCCCATAGAGATGCTCCAAGGGCTGGAGCCCCTCTGCTCTGAAGCCAGGCTGGGAGAGCTGGGAATGTCCAGCCTGGAGAAAAGAAGACTCCAGAGAGATCTTCCAGTCCCTAAACAGGCTACAAGAGAGCTGGAAAGGGACTTGGGACAAGGGCCTGGAGGGACAGGACAAGGGGGAATGGCTTCCTACTGCCAGAGGGCAGAGTTAGATCGGAAGAAATTCTTCCCTTTGATGGTGTGAGGCCCTGGCACAGGTTGCCCAGAGAAGCTGTGGCTGCCCTGTCCTTGGAAGTGTCCAAGGTCAGGTTGGACAGGGCTTGGAGCAACCTGGGATAGTGGAAGATGTCCCTGCCCAGGGCAGGGGGTGGGACTGGATGAGCTTTGAGGTCCCTTCCAACTCAAACTATTCCATGAATCTGTGAACAAATAACAGAAGCTTATGGTCAAATCCAAACTTTCAGAAGAAAAACAACTCTCCTGGCTTTTCTCAGAACAGATGCAGCTTCACAGCCTAAAACACATCTTTACTGAACTGGTTTTCAACACTTCCCTGAGGAATCCCAAGTGCCTGGGTACCTTTAAGAACTCTTGCAGCCACAAACCTGCTCTACACACATCAGACTTCAAATGAAACTTTGTGTTTTCACCTAAACACAGGCCAATGTTTATATATGCTGCACTATAAATAGCATTAAAGCAAAAACTGACAAATTCCAGAAACATGAGAGTTGTCGCAAGGAAACTAATTCTTCCCCAGAGGATACAGCTCCCTCCCCGCCTGACACTGGATTTAAAAGCTGAAGCCATTGCTCAGCTCCCCTCCATCGCCGCGTTTTACACACGTGTGCACACACACCAACACTATCGGAAACTTCCTGCTATAACTTTACGTTGATTTATGTGGAAAACACCCACTAAAGGGAAAGGCTGCTATGGAAATGCAGTATTACATTGAAAGGCAAAAATAGCATTTCAGCATCATTACGTATTTCTACATAATTAGCAAGAAAAAAAAAGGCGCAGACAGAATTCCTGCTTTCAGCAGCCAGTGCTGAATCAACGAGGGAAGTTTCAGCTGTCTGACAGCACTAAATGTCTTGTAATTTATTGCTGATTTAAATTCCCCTGACAAATAGATTAGTTGAGCTCAAGTTTCTGGGTTTTTTTTCTGGAAGTAGCTCCACTTATACTCAACATCTTCCCTAATCACATTTTCTTTCTTCACAAAGGAATCGAGGAACACGTGTTTCAGAATTGGTGTTATTATGAAATATAAACAAGATAACAAAACACTAATGATCAGCCAGGAGTCCCACACACCCATTTCCTCACACAAACCCTCACGTGCACTTAGGTAATCAGTTATTAGACATCCTATCTACAGTAAACTTCCAAATCTCCTATCTTTCCTCAAATTATCTCACTTAGACAAGCCCAGCTTTGCAAATTCTGCTCCTGAACTCAAGGACACATGGGGACAGCAGATTTACAAAAAGTATTTTAAGTGTCAAATTTCTTCAACTGCCCTTTATCCGATTATCCTGCCCCCATAATCTCTCATCTGAGATCAGCTGCTTGGAACTTTGATCTTCCTGCCAGTTACACTGACAGTCCAGAAAATTCTACTTCACATGGTTATATGGACCAGAACTGCACCAAACATCAATCAGGATCCAACACCACAGCACCTGACATCTGAGGAAGACAGGATTTTGTTGTGTACTGCTTGAACCTGCACAAAACATTCAGAATTTATATATTAATAAAAAATAATCAAGAAATTTTAGGAAGAAATCCTTCCCTGTGAAGGTGGCGAGGCCCTGGCACAGGTTGCCCAGAGCAATTGTGGCTGCCCCATCCCTGGAAGTGTCCAAGGCCAGGCTGGACGGGGCTTGGAGCAACCTGAGATAGTAGAAGGTGTCCCTGCCTAGGGCAGGGGGTGGGACAAGATGAGTTTTAAATCCTTTCCAATCCAAACCATTTCCTGAATCTCTGAAATCGGTTCATTTTAAGTTAAATCAACTGCACAGAAGGTGTCTATGGCAGGCCTGGACACATGGCCATCCATCCACACAAAATATATCCTTGGGTCAACATGGATCTGGCTCAGTCCCAGCAGCTGATGACAGAAGCTCTGTCTTTGAGGGAGAGAGGAGAGGCCTTGGAAAGATTTAGGAAAAATAATGCTGAGAAGGTAGAAAAAACAGGAGGTGAGGCTGATGTGGTGATACTGCAATGCGAGTGCAAAAGGCCAGCGGTTCACGATGGCCAAGTTATACAAGCTCTCCCTCCTCCTGTTTTACTCACTTCCCCTTAGTGCACACACACAGTTGCACTTTGATAGGAATGTTTCTGGATTTCTACACACAGCCTAACCAGGCTGAGTTACAGACATCTGGGCCCACACCAAAATCCGAGTGCTTTGGCCTTCCCCCATCTCCTCCACCACTGAAATTCCTACCCCTTCCTCATCCTCACAGCATAACAGGACCTTTCAGAAACACACCACACCTTGTGACCTGCAACATCACATTCCTCCTCACTAATTAGGATGCTGTGATTCCATTTATTTTTAGGAACAGAGCAGTTAAGCTTTCGGGAGCAAAGGGAACATGACACAACTGCTTCCTGTTTGGGGTGCGGAGACAACTGTAAGATTCTATGAGGAGTCTGCAGCTTGGACAAGTCCCAAAGAAAGCCCTGCTTTTCCCACAGAGGAGGGATTCCCACCATGGAGGGTACTCTCACTCCTAATAGCCTTACAGCAAACCACGTACACAAGGATCCACTATTCCCTCACACGCAGCACCTGGAAGGTTCTTCTGAGCCACCCACCTGTCATAACTCCTCAGTGACTCTCTGCTTGCATCTACACAGAAATTTCAGCTGTACAGATTAAAAAACTGTGACTTCTAGTAATTTAGTGCCCTGTTAACCTGTGCTGTGGTAGGACTAGAACTGGTTCAGGGCGTTACGGAACTTGTCTGCCCTCAAACTTCTGTGATGCAAATTAATTTGAGATGCTTCTGGTTGGTTGACCAAATTGCTGCTGCTTGTAACTCAGCACCTGGTGACACTGGGAACACAGAC